AGTCAAAAAATGGAATGATGATGAACAGAGAAAAAGGAATCAGGAAAACAATCCTCCAAGTATCATTGACAGTTTTTAGAAGATAGCCTTTGAGTTTCTCAAAATTTAGTCCTGATGCAAATCTGCATGACTAAAAATCTTCATGGGAGGGGGTTTGGATGTAGAAATCTTGATTTTACCTTGTGAATGCTTAAAAGCGGCAAATAAAGTGTTCTGTTCATTCATTCATTCATTCATTCATAGGAAATTGTGGCAGGTGTTCTGTTTTCCTCCCCATCATCGATCCAACAATATTTCGGCAGTTTGCGGAATTTTCCTTTCGGACGAATATTGTCGCTAATTTGTCCTGCGTTTTTCCTCCATTTTCGCGTAGTTTTCTTATTCGGAATAACTGCAATTTACGGTTAAAAAAAAACCGCTTTTGACAAGAAAAGCCCCTACCTACCAAATAATAATAGTAATTACGTTCGTCTTTAAAAGCCGGCCTTGTAAAGAAAGAGCGTATAAAGGCGCACTGAAGAACTGACTCAGCCGGTTTATCGTTGAATTAATTTTCCCTTGGTGTTTGTCGGTTGTTATAAACGGGTGTTTGTTCAGCGAAAATTTATAAAACGTATTATTATCTTTAGAATATATAAGCGATGTTTCGTTCACCGAAATCTATTTGTGAGAATCCGTTTAAAAAAAATTTGCTGTTCGGTTGTTATAAACGGGTGTTTGTTCAGCGAAAATTTATAAAACGTATTATTATCTTTAGAATATATAAGCGATGTTTCGTTCACCGAAATCTATTTGTGAGAATCCGTTTAAAAAAAATTTGCTGCAGAAAAAGCTCTCTTTTCGGAAAATTCGATGGATTTCGATGTTCATATTGACCCGAGCAAACGGATTTTTTTTCATTTTGACGTTTCGATGCGTGATTTTTCTGAATCGATTTTTGACACCCGATTTTCGGTTTTCTAAAGTTTACACAGTTTTTTGAAAGACTTCGCGTGTCTTGATTAATTTTGAAAAAAAATATGTATGCGACCAAAATTCACCTGATCGTTAATCGGGACGAGTTTTTTTATTGTAAGGAAATGACACCACACTTAATTTTCAATTTTGCCGAAGACAAAAAAGATGCTATACAATTTTTGGAGAAATACCTATAAATTCCAGATTTTATTTAATTTCTCTGGACAGCGTAATTCTTGAATGTGCAATATGCGTGGAATTTATGTTTGTCATTTGTTTCAGGAATGTATGCTGTGTCAATTTTCTTCGAGCATGTGATGTGTCAAATCCCCGTGTTTGCCGCATTTTTCTTTTGCCGAAAGTTTTGAATAACTCACTGGGATTGTCACTTTGGAAACTTGATTGGCATGTCATTTCTGCGTCGGTGGCTTCTAAACTGCTCTTGAAACATAACCAAAAAAAATAATAGAAGGACCCTTTTTCCTGGAATTCCGCGCGCTACTCTATAAAGGCGTTGGAAAATTGATGAAACTCACTCACACAGGGACACAAACTGTGCAAACTGAGGGCATGACAACCTTGACCGAATTTTCTTGCAAGTTTCCTTCCTGTCTTTTGTTTCCGAACGAGGGTCTCGTTGCAATATTCAGCACCTCATTTCCCGAGTATATGGCAGTGTATCGTGAGGAATTGAATATTTTTGCCTGCCGAAATGTTGTGCATTCCGGTCGTGGAAACGGTTGGGAAGAAAAACAAATGCAGTGTAAAAAACTTGAGAAAAATATTTTTTTTTGTTGACGAAGAAGGGAAAAATGATCGTAGAAGAAGAAAATCCAGTCATCGGAATGGTTCGCCATTTTCTTTTTTTCTTTTTTAAATTCGCTCGCAAAATGAAGCTTTTTGAAAATTTAATTATTATAGATTCGTCAGAGGAATATGAAATAAAAAGTGCGGAGAAAATGTCTTCAAAAAAGGTTTCGTATTTGTTTTTCCTTGGGCGACGGGAATATTGATATGGAATCAAGGTTATGATTTTTTGTCATCTTTAATGTAAAAAGAAAGATACTAAAATTGTCGACGAAGTAATGAAAAAGTTCACATTTCAGATTTCATTTATTTTTATCCACGACACCCTTGAATGAATGTGTGCTGGATTTCTGATTATCGTTTTACAGTCCTGGGAATCACCATTTTCAAAATGAAATTGAGGAAATAGAATGTTTCTCGTTGAAATTAATACAAGCATATTTGAAAATTTTGAAGTTATTGATCGGAAACTTTAGATCCTTATTTTGAGAGGTCCGTTGGTTGCTTCCTGGCCCAACTTGATCTTCAAATCAAGGGTTTGACAAAATTTCGTAATTTAATCTTAATTGGAAATTTAATAATTTAAAATATGAAACACATAAATCCATTGTATTTCACTGTAATTTGAAAGTACTGCAGTGGGAATGGTGGAGAATTTAATGGAGATATACATTTTGGAATGAAACTCAATAATTTGGTTGAGCTATGATTGGAGTGATTTCACCCTATTTTAAAGTTGGCACAATTCAGTCTTGTTCAGCAAAAAATACACTTTCAATGTTTGCAACCCTTTTGAGTGATACTCGCAAGAGTCAAAAAATGGAATGATGACAAACAGAGAAAAAGGAATCAGGAAAACAATCCTCCAAGTATCATTGACAGTTTTTAGAAGATTGCCTTTGAGTTTCTCAAAATTTAGTCACCTACGTTTAGACGTACTGATTTTTAGAAGTACCCTCCCCCAAACCTACATCTTTAGAACTAAAATGGAACACTTACGAATTTTCGCCGTTTATTTCACAAGACAAGTAAGTAAGTAAGTAAGTAAGTTTCATGCAAATCTAGGAGGTTTGAGAACAGGGGTGAGAACCAGAGTTATGCCCACTTCTCACAAAGATGCACAAGAACATACAAGTTTTTGGATAAATACAGTACCAATTCTCATTCTTTACAATTAGTTGTGACAAATTAGAGTTTCACTGTTTTAATTTGCAACAGGAATTTCCAGATTTCCAGAGTTTTCAAAGAAAAAAACAAGTTGCAGGAAAAATAAAAAGTTCAATTTTTCTGCTATGAAGGACAAATTGTTGACAACATAATTTGATGTGGAGTGTTGATTAAATAATAATAAAACACGTTATTCAGTCTGGGACAGGACCGGGATTCCATTTAGGAATTCCTATTTTAAAAGAGTAAAGTGTATTTCACAGAATAATAAAACAACTGAATCAAACTCAACTGGCTGAATAATTTGAGTAACACAACTGATGAACTGATTCTCATCTGATCTAAATATGAAAGGGAGCAGCTTGTGTACTATCAATAATAATTAACCTTCACAAGGTTTTACTGTTAGAATCAGAACAGAAAAGATATTGTGGAGTATGCTGCGATTATGGGGAGGGGAGGAATACTTTTACTTCTAGGAATTGTTTGGAGTACGTTACTGTACATGGCGTGCATGCCCAACATCTGCCTTGATTTGGAGAATCAGCAGGTGCATCCTTTTGTAAAATGTGAGGAAAAGGTGGCAAAAAAATGTTAACCTTGACCCAATCCCAAGAAGACTATCTTTTCTCCTATATATGCAGCATTTCCTTTTTCTTCTGGCCCCCAACTTTATTTTTAAAAATTCATTGCCCTTTTTCACTCAAATATCTAGGTATGTCATCAGCAAGCAAAACCAGCCGGTTCTGCAGCGGGTCAAGGCTTTCGTTAATTCCCCCACCCCCTGGGCAAGGAAATTGTGGCAGGTGTTCTGTTTTCCTCCCCATCATCGATCCAACAATATTTCGGCAGTTTGCGGAATTTTCCTTTCGGACGAATATTGTCGCTAATTTGTCCTGCGTTTTTCCTCCATTTTCGCGTAGTTTTCTTATTCGGAATAACTGCAATTTACGGTTATTTTTTTTGGCGAAAACTGTTCTTTTCGGGGATGGATGGTTTATTATTATCATTAATGCAAGCAGAAATTTTCGGCCGGAACATTTCTTTCTCGCATATTTCCGCGTGACTTCTTGACTGAGTCGGCGTTTATCGTTGAATTAATTTTCCCTTGGTGTTTGTCGGTTGTTATAAACGGGTGTTTGTTCAGCGAAAATTTATAAAACGTATTATTATCTTTAGAATATATAAGCGATGTTTCGTTCACCGAAATCTATTTGTGAGAATCCGTTTAAAAAAAATTTGCTGCAGAAAAAGCTCTCTTTTCGGAAAATTCGATGGATTTCGATGTTCATATTGACCCGAGCAAACGGATTTTTTTTCATTTTGACGTTTCGATGCGTGATTTTTCTGAATCGATTTTTGACACCCGATTTTCGGTTTTCTAAAGTTTACACAGTTTTTTGAAAGACTTCGCGTGTCTTGATTAATTTTGAAAAAAAATATGTATGCGACCAAAATTCACCTGATCGTTAATCGGGACGAGTTTTTTTATTGTAAGGAAATGACACCACACTTAATTTTCAATTTTGCCGAAGACAAAAAAGATGCTATACAATTTTTGGAGAAATACCTATAAATTCCAGATTTTATTTAATTTCTCTGGACAGCGTAATTCTTGAATGTGCAATATGCGTGGAATTTATGTTTGTCATTTGTTTCAGGAAATTTTTTACTGTGTTTTGGTGGAGCCAGTATTTTTGAAAGAATTTCAAAAATTTGCAATTCTCATCCTCGCATTGATGAGTACATCTTTCTTGATTCAGAAAATTTTAGAATAATCGAACATCGATTTGCTCTTTTCCCCTGCTGTATTTTTTCGGTTTCATTCGAAAGCATTCGATGCATTATTTAGCAATCATTTTTTCGCAAAAATAAAAAAACTTCGAATTTGGCGATTTTCTGAAATAAATAATTGATTTTGTTTGAAAGGTTATCGCGTGATGGATCACAGATATTTTTCTTCCTCGAGTCCTCAACGTGTTTCACTGATCTATTTTTGGCTAGAGAAAACTCAATAATTAATTACCTGTTCCAAGAAAGAAAAAAATTCTTCTGTTTTTGCTCGATTGATGTGGTTGATGACCCTTTTGGTTGTGTCTATTTCGAATCCGAGGTTCTTAACCACTGCCCTTCATGAGTAAAGAATAACTTGGGCTGCATTGGAGGGAATTCGGTTTATTTTTTTACCTTCTTTTATATATTTTTTCTCTGGCTTTCTACACATGGCCTTTTTTCCACAGAAATGATAAGATATTTGTGGATATTATTCCGTGTGCTTCTGAGATTGCACGACTTGATATTTTCGATACAAGTGATATGAGTTTTTTGCTGGCCTATGTTTTTTTTTTCTTTTGCAATCGGCCTTTTTTTTGTGGTCTACGTCACCTGCTTTTGATCAGTTTCCTGACGGTCTGTAATTCCGAGATAAGGTGACAGGTGGCGATTTTTTGCCGTTTTTTTATATTGACATATACCTGTGCTTATTCTCTTACTTTGTGCATTCAAACGCAAAAAAAAAACCTCCTGCTCGTCTAATCCTTGATTTTCATGAAATATTTATTCGGATATAAGACAGCGTTAATTCTGAGACGCGTGAATATCGAATATGCTTTAAAGATTTTAAGGGAAATTCAGATCATTTTGCAGCATTCTGTGATTGCAATATTCAAAAGGTTACACGGTATTATTTTTTTTTCTGGGACGATGATATTGCGAAGTCTCGTGTATGCACCTTGTATGGCTTTCTTGTTTTTTTTTTCGTAATGACATGAAAAAAAGAAAGCACTTTGTTCAGCTATAGTTTCCCACCCTTCCCTCTGTTACTATATAAGGGCTGAAATTAAAATTAAAGTACTGTATATTTCTTGAGCTCAAGTACATTAATGGCAAACTTGAAGCAAAAGAAACACACCAATTTTCGAATGACATCTTTACTTACAATGGAAAAAAAGGAGTCTGTGATGATGCTGGATCGATTTCGATTTTCTTTTTTTTTAGGTTTTACAATTTCTTTTTTCCTTTACTGCTGGTATATATGCAACAACACTTTGCTCGCGAATTTGACTCCGCGTCAATTCTGAAGACACGTACGCCCCAGATTTTTTTTTGGTTTTCATTTAAAATTCAAATGCGAAAATCAATTGCTCCTGTGATAACCCATATAGTGAATTTCCAGCATATTATAATCGCGGGGACACCCAGCAACTTGATTTTCGGAATTTTTTCTTCATCGCTCCCTATCTACAATACTGTACATAAAGGACAGTTTGTGCCTCTGCTGCTGCTGCTGATGATGATGATGATTCTCATGATGATAATGACAATGATGATGCTAAAATATGGGTCATCAGTTTTGATATCGTCTCTTTTCTTCTCTTTTCTTCCTGACCCCCCCGAATATACACAGGTCGCCGAACCAGGCAACGACGGAGGGTAACTGGACCAAAATCTACTGGCCGGCCCACACGGCGCAGGGCCGCGAGTACCTGCTGCTCTCGCACCCAGCCGGAAGCAGACTCTCGCCCCGGAGCGAGGACAACACGGGCCGAGGGCCGCGTGTCAAACAGTGTGCCTTCTGGAAGCAATTCTTGCCGCAGCTCTACGCAGCCACAGGTAATAAAT